AAAAAAAAAAAATGGATTGACACAGTGGCAGCAACAATTGTGAGGATGTTGTGAGCCTGGACAGTGTTTCCTTCTGTTGTCCATAAGGTCACTACGACCTAACAACACAGCAGTTATATAAACAGCCGTGAGAAATGGCACACGGTAAAGATATCAGAGACTTGCAGTCTTGGCTAACCCAGCCAGGTGGGTAGGAGAATACAATAGACCCATGGAGGACCATGTCTCTCAACTACAAGATCCTCCAGAGAGGAGGCTAACCTCATTCTTCCAAAACCCTAATGTCACTGCCAGCCTGGGACCACATTAAACTGTTTTCTTTCCCTGAGATGTGCTTTTGTTTGTTTGTTTGGTTAATTTTGACCCCTCAAGTGATGTTGTTTAGAGCTACATATTAATAATGAGTTCTGGTTTGTGGTTGTAACTTCTTCCCAAAACTCAAACCCATTGCCACTGAGTCAATTCTAACTCACGGGAACCCTACAGGACAAAGTAGAACTGCCCAGGGTTTCCAAGGCTGTAATCTTTATGAAAGCAGACAACGTCTTTTACCCATGAAGCTAGTGGTTTCGAACAGCCAATCTTCTACTTAACACTTGAACCCTTAACGAGTGAGTCATAAGGATACCTTTATAACTTCTCAGGGACTTCAAAAAAAATTAACAGAATGATTGGTGTATACTAGGTGTTAAATAAATTATTTTACATACTAAGTTTAAAATAAAGAAACTAAATTTTATATCCATGAAATATTCTGATCTTCTTTTAAAGACCGTTATTAATATTCTGCTTTTGTCATATAGCATAATATAATTACAAATATTTTTAGTTTCAAGTATCAAGCATTCAACACATTTCACCAGAAAAAGCGCAGGTGATAATTTATGCAATAGCCTGCTAAGGGAAAATAGTAAGACATGACACCTATGAGAAGCCACCTGGGTTTGTCTTAACATAAAATCTAAAACATTCTAAAATAATTTTCTCAAGATTAAGGGAAGAAACCTGTAGTAAATATTATAAAGATTTCATAAGGATACTGTAACGGTCCAACAGCTTTCTATCTTCAGCTACATTGTGCCCTGTTTTCTACTCTCTACCTAACTGTTCATTTATAATTTTGAGTTTAAAGATCAATAATTCATTTATTAAATCAATATTAAGTAATTCCTAGGTACCAGAAGGCTGTTTTTTCTTTGTTTTGTTCTTAATCCTGTAATGCCTATAATTATCATATGATATCACCAAAAGTCTTGACTCAAACAACATAGGTCACCAAATATTTAATTAATTTAAAGAGAGAATTTGATTGCCATGGAGGCGATTCCAACTCATAGTGACCCCGTGTAGGATTTGAACTACCAAACTTGTGCTTTGCAGTCCAGTGATAATCCCTACAGTGCCACATCAGGAGAGAATTTCACTCATTCTAAATTCTGGACAACAAGGTTGATTTGATTCACAAAGTTGGTGGTTCAAACTCACCAGCTGCTCCTCAGAAACCCTAGACAGGGTGACTATGAGACAGGATCAACTTTATAGCACTTACCAACAACAATCTGGTTTTGTTTTATAACAAGAATAGATGGATATACTGAAGAGATCTATGAAATATTAACCATATTAATTTAATATTCAAATAGAATATAACTTGAAAAAGTTCAGGAAATTCAAATAACTAGGTGTAATTGTGTATTTTACAGAGAGAAAATGGATCCTTAATTAATGAACTCCTACCATCAGACTTAATGAAAACCAACACAAGTACTGACTTTAAATTACATTCTCTAAGGCCTGCCCATGCTTCCAGGAACTCATTTACTAACACCTTTCCTTCCATTTCCGGGTTTCTGTCTGCTGTTGTCGTTAACTGCTGTTGAATCAGTTCTGACCCATAGCGACCCTGTATTGGGTTTCCTAGAAGCTGCTGGTGGATTTGAATCACTCACCTTGTGGTTCAAGCTGACCTTATGGTCCAGCGCATTATCCTAGAGCGTCACACTAGGACTCCTTTCTGCCTGGTGGTGGTTATGTGCCATGGAATCGGGAGTTGGTTCTGACTCATAGCGACCCTGTATAGGGTTTCTGAAGTGGGAGCACAAAGCCTCATCTTTCTACCGCTGAACTGCTGGTAGTTTCGAACTGCGGACCATGAGGTTAACAGCCTGACTTGTAACCACTAAACTACCAGAGGTCAGGTCTAGCTAGAGTGTGTGAATTTCCTACTTCCTAACTTGGTGGAATCCTGATGTGGCGCTGTGGGTTAATACACTGGACTGCAACGTAGGTTTGAACCTCTAGGTCAGTGGTTCAAATTCAGCAGCTGCTCCTCGGAAACCCTATACAGGATCGCTATGAGTTGGAACCGACTCTAAGGCACTTAACAACACAAGGTGGCGCTGTAAGATAATGCACTGGACAACAGGGTCTGTTTGAACTGCAAGGTAGGTGGTTCAAACTTACCAGCAGTTCCTAGGAAACCCTATACAGGGTCGCTATGAGTTGGAACCGACTCTAAGGCACTAACAACAACAACAACTTGCCCACACGAGAGCGTTAAGTGGCCTACCACAGTGCCACAGTTCTCTGGCCACTGACTCTCAGCCAAATCTCCTCATACTCCTGTTCCCAGGTAGAAACAAGGCAAAAGGTGGCAGTCAGCATACACACTGAGACTGTTTCCAACCAGAAGCTTTCTTGGTATCCCCTCTGTCTTCACCTTTCTACCTCTTAAAGCCAAACCTTCAAATATTTAGTACCGAATTTCGTCTCAAGAACCCTGATGGTACAACAATTAAATGCTCCATTACTAACCAAAAAGTTAGCAACTCGACCCTACCCAGAGGCTCTGCCAGAAAAAGACGGTGCAAAAGATGACAACCAATAAAACTCTTTGGGGCACTTCTCCTGTCACAATTCACCTGAGTCACGATGAGTAGGAATCATCTCGACAGCACCCAACTACAATTTCCTTTAAACATCTTAAAGCTAATTACTACAATAGCTTTTCAGGTTCTGTATCAGAATACAGTGTGTGTGCCACTGTAGAATAAGACTGGATGGTAAACTGCAAGGTTTGTGGTTCAAATCCACCAGCCACTCCTCTGAAACCTTCTATAGACTTGATGGCATTAACAACATCAATATCAGACTGGTGGTGGCTGTGTGCCATGGAGTCGGTTCCGACTCATACGGATTTCTGTACAGGATTTCTGAGGCTGTAAATCTTTACAGGAGCAGAATGCCTTATCTTTCTCCCATGGAACAGCTGGTGGTCTCGAACTGCTGACCTTGTTCACAGCCCAATTCATAACCACTATGCTACCAAAGCTCCTTAATATCAGACTAGAAGATGAAATAGTACATCAGAAAAGATGTCAAAGGTCAGAAGTGATTCCCTATCATAGATATTCATGTCCCATGTGCTGGTGTCCTGCCATTATGCAGCAGTAAGTAGAGGACTTAAGTGGCCAGGAAGGAAAGATGATAAGTGTCATCCTGAAAGGAGAAAGCAATTAACCAAGACACACCAAACAAGATTTGATTTACTTTTACTTTTTAAAATATGAAATTCTTATGGAGTGTTTGTGTCCTCAAAAAAAAGATATATTGAAAGCCTAATCCCTGAATCTGTGAATAGGACCTTATTTGAAAAGTCTTTTTGTATATAATTAGTTTTCATGAGGCCATCTTTAAGTAGGGTGTGCCCTAATCCAATATGGCTTGTCTCCCTTATAAAATAAAAAGAAGAGACAGACAGACGCAGAGGGAAGAAGGCCAAATGAAGATGGATGAAGGGAGAGATTGAAGTTGTACTGCCAACGCCAACAACAGCTGGACTACCAGAAGTTGAAAGAGACAAGGAATGATCTTCCCTTAGAGTAGTTGAGGGGAATCACCCTTTTGAACAACCGTTGAGGAAGAGTGCCGACAACCTCAATTGAGATTTCCAGCCTTCATCTAGAACCACGAGAAAATAAATTTCTGTTGCTTTAAGTTACCTTCGTTTGTGATAATTTGTTATTAGAGCCCCAGAAAATTAAGACAGGTAGTTAAAACTGAGACAACAAATTCTTCATCACAATCACCTTCACTTGGTGCACGTGCAGCTTTTAAATCATTGAAAAGGCTCGGAGCCTTTTCTTACATTCAAGTAAGCCTAAATGAGAATCCTATGCACCTGTTCCAAATCACCTACAAATTCTACTGAAAAGGAAACTTAGGAACAGATCTCATCTGCAATCCAGGGACTCCCAGTGCAGAAGGGTACAATGACACCATCACTGCAGCCTCCCTGAAGTGGCTCGGAAATCCTTGACAGAACACAACCACCACCATCCCACACCTCAGACTTTCTACCTTGTTCCAAAAAGGCAAATTCAGTCCCTCTCCCCACTGCCAGTAACTTCCACCCATCTCAGAAGAAAAAGATTTTCTTCTCCATTGCAGAGAGGATTCTTAAACAATGAATACAATTTTAATCACTAAATAACGAGACTCCATTTTGGTTCCGATTTCATCATTCCAATGCCACCTCCTGATGGGATGCAGGTTGTAAAGGGAAGAGCAACCTAAATCCCTCATGAAAACCTAGGCACACTTCCCTCAGGCTTCCATATTCCCATCCTACTGTGTTCACTTCTGGTGCAGCCCTGGCTGCAACAGTGTCTTATAAGTTTTCTTTGGACACACAGTTCGAAACTACCAGCCATTCTGTGGGAGAAAGATGAGGTTTTCTGCTCCCGTAAAGATTTACAGCCTCGGAAACCCCGTACAGGGTCGCTATGAGTCGGAACCGACTCCACAGTACTTAACAACAACAACAACTAGACTACCCAAGGGCAGAGATTCTTGACCTTTCCTCTTGCCTTTTGATCAAAAGTGCCCAGCACATGCCAGTAAAATGTAGCACTAGGCAAACCAGAAAAATCACTCTAAAAGCACAAGTATTTAAAGTGTGGTCCATGTGCTTGCAAGATAAACTTTAAGAGTTCATTTCAATACACATCTTTAAGAATATCCCTGATATGTCAACCCACAGTTGTATAGATATCACTACTTCAGGTCAGAAGTCACCTCGGAAACAGCAAGTCTGTGAAACAGTGGCTTCACAAGGACTGGTGCCACCCAGGCAGTAACTCATGGTAGCAACTCCTGCGGACTTTCTATACAATTTGCCCAGAATCTGTAGTCATTAAGTGGTAGAATCGGCATTTAAACCCAGATCCAACTGGCTTCAGAATCCATCCTCTCAGCACTATGTTATTTTACCTCACTAAAAAAAATTGGCAAGAGTCCTTGGGCTCTGTAAATGGTTAATGCACTGAGCTACTAACCAAAAAGTCGGAGGTTCAAGTCTATGTAGCAGCTTCTCAGAAGAAAAGGCTGGTGCTCTATTTCCAAAAACTCAGCCATGAGAAAACCTACGGTGCACAGTTCTATTCTGACACACATGGGGTTGTCATGAATCAGAACTGAGTCAACTCTAACTGCTTAGTTCATGGACAAAGAAGAGGTAAGTATTTACAAAGGAGTATGAAGCTGCTTAAGGAGCCCTGGTGGCACTGTAAGCAAAGCACTGGGCTGCTTAACCACAAGGTCAGCAGTTCAAACCCACCAGCCACTCCTTGGGAGAAAGATGAGACCTTCTGCTCCTATAAACATTTTACAATCTTGGAAACCATGGTCTCTAGGAGTTGACTCACTGATAGTGGATTTTGAATGAAACTGACAGAAGTTTTGGACATAAGCTCCTATCTCCTAAGAAAAGCAGATAGGAAAATGAACCCCAGAATGATTCAACAGTGTTAAACATTCCATTTTACCTGTCAGAAAGGCAGCCGAAAATCACTGCTCCCAGTAGAACGCCAAACATAAACACAGGCTGAATCAGTTTTGTGAGCCATTCTCGGTGACAGACCAGATCCCACTGGGTCACCACGGTGCTTTCCCACTTGCTCTGGTCATAGATGTAACCATCTGAGCAAGGGAAGTCATGCTTCCTGCCACTGTATTCATACTCCAGGTGTAGGGTGTCCTGCCTCCAGGACCTACGACACCCAGTGAGCTCCCAGACCACACCGTCCTGCAGCTGCACAGCAATGTGACCTTCCTGGCCTGGCAACATCAGGGCCCAGATGTCCTCCAGCCTCGAAGTAGAGGCATTGTGGAAAAGAACTCGACTCACGTTGCCTGGGGGTCGGCAGGCATACTGGGGCGTTGCCGCCATGAACACAGAAGCCAAGTAGTGGATGCCGCAAGAAATGTTCTGGAAGGCACATATAAAATAGAGAAATATCTGGAATCTGCAAAAGAGAGGTGAACCTAGTTATTATACCTGGACCATGGGCTGAAAAAGAACATAAACAAATAGCTAGGCTATTTACCAAGTTTGGCTCAATATGCCAACAGATGGATAGATAAAGAAACAGTTACAATATATGCATCTATTTGAGAATCAGGTTGTCTGGCTCTGCCTGCTAAGGTGACCCAGAAACAATGGCATTCCAGTAGCAACAAGCTCACCCAGTGCCAGACCTTGGTTTATAAATTCCATCCTCTAATAGGTTCATTTGACGATGGTTGATTTGAAGATTACTAGTTACGGGTGCCATCAAGTCAATTCTGACTCATAGGGAACCCATGTGTGTCAAAGTAAAACTGTGCCCCATAGAATTTACAAAGACTGATTTTTCACCAGTGATGTCATGGAATTAGATTGCCAGGCATTTCCTCTGAGGTGTCTTTGGGTGGACCTGAACCTCCAACCTTTCCATTTAGCAATCAACCCTGTGTACCACCCAGGGACTCTGATTCTAGAACTGTTATTGTTGTGTGGCCTGGAGCTGATTCGGACTCGCAGCTCTACAGAATACAGCAGAACTACCCTATAAGGTTTCCTAGGCTGTAACGGGAGCAGATTGTCAAGTCAGGCAAATACAAAGCCTGGAGTATCTTGTAGTTGTTGTTGTTGTTATGCCCCATGGAGTCGGTTCCGACTCACAGAGACCCTGTACAGGGTTTCCGAGGCTGTAAATCTTTACCAGAGCAGAAAGCCCCATCTTTCTCCCATGAAACAGCTGGTAATTTCGAACTGCTGACCGTGAGATTAGCAGCCTGATTTATAATCACTACACTATCAGAGCTCCTTGTAGTATGAGAAAGTAAAAAACTGCTCAGAAAACAAAAGGATGGAGACCTACCAAAGGGACATGGAACAACCTGAAAGAGCCCCAATAGTTAAAGATGGAACAATTTGATCAGCAAAATAAATAACATAGTATTGGATCATAACCCAAAGTATAAAATAATTATATATGAGGCCAGACCAATATATACAAATGATTAAATGTTGTAGTTTTTGTTGTTGTTAAGTGCCATCAAATCGGTCCAACTCATAGTGACCCTTTAAAGAGTTTCCTAGGAGCAGCTGGTGGATTTGAACCGCCAATCTTGTGGCTCAAACCGACCTTGCAGTGCAATGCTTTATCCCACAGCACCACACTGTTGTTGTTGTTGTTAAGTGCCATCAAATCGGTCCAACTCATAGTGACCCTTTAAAGAGTTTCCTAGGAGCAGCTGGTGGATTTGAACCGCCAATCTTGTGGCTCAAACCGACCTTGCAGTGCAATGCTTTATCCCACAGCACCACACTAGGACTCCTAAATGATTGAACTGTTGTTGTTGCTGTTAAGTGCCATTGAGTTGGTTTCAACCCATAGCAACCCTGTATAGAATTTCTGAGGAGCGACTGGTGAGATTGAACTCCCGACCTTGTGGTTCAAACCACAACACCACACCAGGACTCCTAAATGACTGAATAGATGACTAAAAAGGAGAGGAGAAATCTTTTATACAGTAGAATTCCAACTGACATGTAGCTAGTCTTCCTTTACAGAAGGCAGAATCAGTTCTCACACTTTATCCCATGAAGGTGAAGTAGACTTAGCAGCTTATTTCCAAAGAAGAAACAAAATAACCCATTGCCTTGTAGGTGACTCTAACTTACAGTACAGAGTAGAACTGGGTTTCCAAGGCTCTTATCTTTACAAGAGCACACTGCCACAACTTTCTCCTGTGGAGCCACTAGTGAGTTTGAACTGCTGACCTTTTGGTTGACAGCCAAGTGCTTAACCCCTGTTAAGCTCCTCTTCCCAAAAAACAGAGTAAGAAAATAGTAACTCTACTATTTACAGTGAGGTAACCTGGCAAACATTACCTCAACCAAGTGATGAAGGTTAGCATCACATGTCTCCTACCTCTTGATAAGATGTGAGGCATCTCTACTGTATTCTTTTAAAACTCCACAGCTCCAGGCTAATCATGAGGAAAAGAGCAAATGAATCTGGACTGTTGTTGTTGTTGTTGAGTCAGAACCGACTCATAGCAACCCCGTGCACAGCAGAACGAAACAATGTCTGATCCTGGGCCAACCTCACTACTGCTGCCACACTTGAGTCCATCAATGATGCCACCTGGCCAATCCATCTCGTTGGGGGTCTTCCCCTTTTCTCTGACCCTCCACCTTACCCAGCATGACATCCTTCTCCAGCGACTGTTCCCTCCAGACAATATGTCCAAAGTATGAGAGACGAAGCTTAGCCATCTTGGCCTCCAAGGATTAGGGGAGATCTTACAATGTACCTGGCCAGTGTGCCTTATGAATGTCAAGGTCATTAAAAACAAAAAACAAGGAAAGACTGAGAAATTGTCACAGACATGGGGAGACTGAGGAGACACGTTTACTAAACACAATGTGGTCCCTGCTTTGGCTCCTAGAACAAAAAGAAGACCCTAATGAAAACACTAGAGAAACCAAGTCTGTTGTTGTTAAACGCTGTCAAGTCAATTGCGACTCACAATGACCCTGTAAAGGATTGCTGAGGCCGTAAATCTTTGCTAGATAAGAAAGCTTCATCTTTCTCCTGTGGTGCAGCTGGTGGACTCGAACCGTCAGCCTTGTGGTTCCCAGTCCAGTGCTTATCTTCTAGAACCACCGCACTCCCAAGTAAAGTCTGCTGCTGTTGCTACACGCTGTCAAGTCAGTTCCAATTCACAGAGGGCCTGTCTGGGGTTTCCAAGGCTGTAAATCTTTGGTGGTGGTGGTGGTTCTGTGCCATGGAGTCAGTTACCACTCATAGCGACCCTATACAGGGTTTCTGAGGCTGCAAATGTTTACAGGAGCAGAAAGCCTCATCTTTCTCCTGTTTGAATCCACCTGATTGGTAGATTCAAACTGCTGATCTTGCAGTTAGCAGCTCAATGTGCAACCCACTATTCTGCCAGACAAGTAAAGTCTTTGTTGTTATTGTTGAGTGCCATCGAGTCAATTCTGGACTCATAGCCACCCTATATAGGATTTCTGATGAGCAGCTGGTGAGTTTGAACCGCCAACCGTGCAGTTTCAGCCAACCTTCGGGTCGAATGCTTATCCTATAGTACCACACCAGGACTCCAAGTAAAGTCTTGTTGTTAATGTTGTTAAGTGCCATTGAGTCCATTCTGTAAATCTCAAATCATTCCAAAGTAAAAAGTTACCTGAAGTTAAAAATATTTATGTAGAAATGGAGCAAACAGAACACAATTAAATGGTCACTCTGGTAGCGTAGTGGTTACGAATCAGGCTGCAAACCACAAGGTCAGCAGTTCGAAACTACCAGCTGTTCTGCAGGAGAAAGATGAGGCTCTCTGCTCCCGTAAAGATGTACAGCCTAGGAAACACTGTACAGGGTTGCTTTGAGTCAGAACTGACTTGATGGCACATAACAACAACAACAACAATGTCCCTGAGTCCTGGTGTGATGCTGTAGGATAAGCCCTGGACCACAATGTCAGTTTGAACTGCAAGATCAGGGGTTCAGATTCACCATCACTCCTCAGAAACCCTTTACAGGGTCACTATGTGAGTTGGAACCAACTCAACAGCACTTAACAACAATGTCATGGAACAATTTATATAGAAATTGTCAAATGGTAACTAAAATTGCTGTGCAAACTTTCACCAGAAACATAATAAAATATGATTTAAAATATATATATTTATATGTAGAATCTCCAAATTTATAGACTCAAACCAACAGTGATCTATTTTCTGAAACAAAAACTGTTTCAATAGGGATAATTTTATATTCATACGACAGCAAGGCCGAATATAGAAATGTGGACTGTCCCACAAAACTCACATCATAATTAAGAGCCAAATGGGCTGATGATTTGATTATTTATACTGATAATAGAATCAGTTCAGACAAAAAAGAACATTACTGTATCATTATAATATTGTTAAGTGCCATCAAGTCGGTTCCAACTCATAGCAACTCATAAAGTTTCCAAGGAGCAGCTGGTAAGTTTGAACTGCCGATATTGCAGTTCAAACCAACCTGTGGTCCAATGCTTATTCTATAGCACCACACTAGGACTCCAGAGGAAGCAGAAATGGGTACTGTCAAAACCAAACTCAGGGGACACTGCACCATTGACAAATATTACCTTCTTGCTTTACAGACTTGCCTACCTGACCTGACCCGAACACACCCTCTCACTTGCTCAACACCCTCTGACCACCTCAGTGGTTCTTGAACTCTTTAGTCCCAGGAGTCCTTTCCATTGTTCAAAATTGTTGTAGCTTTTGGGTGCCATTGAATCAATGCCGACTCAAAGCAACCCCATGTGACAGAGTAGAACTGCCTCATAGGATCTTCTTGGATGTGATCTTTATGGAAGCATGCTAGGTCTTTCTCTCACAGAGCTGCTGGATGTATTTGAACCTCCAACCTTTTGGTTCGCAGTCCAGTGCTTAAGTGTTGCACCACCAGATTTCCCTTAAAAAAATCATTGAGGACCTCAAAAGGCTTTTCTTCATATTTTAAATACATTCATGTAATATTTACATATTATAAATTAGAATGAAGAATGAAAAAAATCTATTAATCCATTTAAAAATACCAATAACAAACTCATTACATGTTACCATCAAAGAATGCATAAGGATGACGAAGGTGGCACAAGACCAGACGGCATTGCCTTCTGTTGAACCTGGGGTTGCCATTGTGAGAGATAACTTGATGGCAATTTACTACAACATAATTTTCTAAACAGAACAAGACAAAATTTAGTGAGAAGGCATTGTCTTCCATTCATTTTCTTTTTTCTACTTTAATATGCTGTACTGTTGCCACTGGACTTTCACGAAAGAATGAGCATAGAAAAGAATGCCAACAATGAACATCTTAGTGTTATTATGAAGAAAGCTTTGTCCTTGCTGGCCCATGAAAGGGTCTTGGATGTCTCGAGACCTGTGGATACCCTGTGAGAATGGCTGGTCTAGCTCACCCCTCCTGTACATTCTTCCCCCTCTCCCCTCTTCTTTCCCTCCACACTAACTCCTACTGTCAGCCCCTCCTTTCCCTTCACAGTCTGCGTCTCTCAGCAGTTCACCTTTTCTATTTGCTTCCACTCTCACTCATTTACTGGTTTTCTCGCCCCATAACTTTCTTCTCTTCTGTAATCAAAATATGCAGCTGTTCTGCTTCTTACGTTGATTTTTAAAGCGCACGAGGTGAATGTTTTCTCTTTGTCTATCAAATATATATAGTCAACTAACTACTTACTGCCAACCCACTGCCACGGAATTCCATTCCAACTCATAGGGACCCTGTAAAGTAGAACTGCCCCATAGGGTTTCTGAGACTGTAAGTCTTTATGGGGGTAGACAGCCTCCTCTTTCTCCCAGGGAGCACCTGGTAGGTTTGAACTGCTGACCCACTGCAGCAACAGGGCTCCTTAAACAAGCCAGAAAGTCCCATCAAAGGTAGAATTCAAGTTCCATTAAGGATAGAAATGATGGCTCAGTCACTTTCGTCTCTTTTGTAGTCTCTTTGGGTAGATGGCAACATGCGTAGTACAAATCTGTAGACTGCTGGAGAATCCCTCGTGCTAAAGCAGAGTGTCACTGTAGTTGATGCATATTTAGTACATCTGAGAAGGAGAAGTTTTCAACAGAACAGAGTATCTGAAAAATTTTGACTGAGTTCCCCACTGAGGAACATATATGCATGTGCATGTATATATATATTTTAAAAGAGCATCTGTGGATATACATATTCATATAATACTGAACTCATATTTTATACATTAAGATGTAAATTTGTATTATGTATATATTTACTTGTATATCCCTATGTTAAATTGATTTTTTATCACACCCAAAGCACCACCTTTGCCCACTGTATGTATGAACACACCCCACTTAGGGACTATCACAAGCAGCAATGCTGAGCAAAGTCAGAAAAGTGGCTGTGAAGTTATCAGTGACCATCCCTCATTCACCGGGGTGACTGCCAAAGCAGTAGGTCGCCACTCACTTCTCATGGAACCTGCGTAGATAAAGAAGCAAGCTGTAATCAGTTTAAAGTGTTGTGGTTATCAGGACACTGCAGGCTGCTCATGCTGGCCACTTTCAAAGTTGAATTCTGTTATTGCCGTGGTCCTGGTAGCTAGTTTAGAGAGGAAAAACACAGCAAAAGACAGACAGAAATTAAGTGGCTTTCTTCTTGCACTGGAAGGCAAGGAAAAACACACCAGTTATGATTTCATGGTCTCTGTGGAGTGAGGAGCCCTGATGGCACAGTAATTAAAGTGCTCTCAGCTGCCAACCCAAAGGTTGAGGGTTCAAACACCCCCACCACTCTATGGGGAAAAGACATGGCTTCCTTAAAGCTTGTTGTTGTTGCTGTTGTTAAGTGTTGTTGAGTTGGTTATGACTCATAGTGACCCTGTATAGGGTGTCCAAGGAGTGGCTGGGCTGGTGGGTTTGAACTCCGACCTTGCAGTTAGCAGTTCAGTGCTTATCCTACAATGTCATACTAGGACTCCTCCTTGAACATTCCAGCCTTGGAAAGCCTATGGGGCAATTCTACTCTGTTCTATAGGGTCACAGAGAGTTGGAATCAACTCAACAGTCATGGGCGATAGGATGAGAAAAGTTGCAAAGAGAAGAGCTTGGAGCCTGGTACTTACACCCTTGGGACTGATGGGCCAACTCTAGTTTCCCAGAAAAGGTGCCCCTGACAGAAGAAAGGAGTCTGTGGGTGGAGCAAATGGTTAAACACTTGACTGCTAGCAAAAGGTTGATGGCTCAAGTCTGCCCAGGGGCACCTCAGAGAAAGGGCCTTCCAAAATATCATCCATTTAAACCCCTGTGGAACACATTTCTACTAGCACACATGAGCTCAGAGTGGTGTCAGAAGAACAGTGACCAGCAATCAGCCCTCAGCTTGTTCCAGGCAGAGGACTGGCAGGAATAGCAGGCAAAGAAGTCAGCCTGAGTCGCTAAGCTCAACAAACCCAAGGGGCTAACTAGGATCACAGTTAAAGAATCAGTGCTGAAGAGGTGGGACAGTCCTGCTGGAAAGGACATGCAGACCAACCCAGATCAGCTAGAGAAACAGAAGATATTTCCTGAAAGAAAGACCAGCAGGAAAAAACAAATCAAAAATAAAAATGCCTGTCTGTTTGGCTATTACAAGAGTAGGCAAGCTGCTTGCTGGGGAACCATCAAGGCAAGCAATCAAGTCCCTTCAAGACAAATCCCTCTCCAAGACTGAATCTCAAAGGGAACACATGAGCAGGCATGTAAGTTTGCTGGTGACCGTGTTGTTCTACATTTGAATGGAAGTGGGGGAAAGGCATCAATGAAGATATGGGCTGAGTTTGACCACATTCCATAGACTACCGTTGACCTCAAGATGAGAGAGAGAAGAAGAAGGACTGGTTGGTCCGAAGTTTGGGGAGAATTGGAAACTCTTGAGCCCATGGGTATTGACTTAGCCATGGAGAGCTAGAGCTGAGAGTGAAGTGTCCAGCTGATATGAAGTTGGGGGGAGATGCACAAGAATGCCCAAGGTTGCAAATAGCACCCATTTGACCTAGCTTTGATGACTTGATGACCAGAAGCTCAACTAGAGGAAGATAAAAAAATTTGATACAGAAAGTGTAAAATCACTACAATTTGATGAACTTGACCTATACTTATAGATGTAGTAGCTCAAAATACCAACTGAGAGGGAAGGAGTCTTCACATCAAGGATACAATCTATCCCCTGGTATACAGGGTTGATAGGGATGGGCAACTTAGACATTGGCTACCTAAAATGACGGGGTGGTGGTGGTGGCTATAAAGGCACAAAGTAGCTGGCTTACAAGTTTTCAAAAGAGAGTTTAGTTTCAGAGTGAGCAGGGGAAGGTAGAATCCCCATGAATAGTTTTCATCTTGTCTAGACGGGTCTGTTAAAAGTTAATAGAGACAGAATTCTTTTGATTCAATAGTGAGTAATTATTAATTGTTTTGGACATATTGTCAGGAGGGAACAGTCGCTGGAGAAGGATGTCATGCTGGGTAAGATGGAGGGTCAGAGAAAAAGATGAAGACCTCCAACGAGATGGATTGGCCAGGTGGCATCATTGATGGCGTCAAGTGTGGCAGCAATAGTGAGGTTCTGCTGTGCATGGGGTCGCTATGAGTCGGTTCCGACTCGATGGCACCTGACAACAACAATTGTTATCACGACTAATTGCGATTGTCACAACTCTAAAGGAAGAAGTTTTGTTCCAAAGACCCACATGAACCACACCCTGAGACCAGAAGAACTAGATGGTGCCTGGCTCCCACTGCTGACTGCTCTGACCAAGACCACAGTAGAAGGTCCTAGTTAGAATGGGTAAAAAATATTATATTTTTCTTTTTTTAAAAAAAGACCAGATCTCCAGGTCTGAAAGAAACTAGAGGAACCCACAAGACTATTTCCCTGAGACACTCTTCTAACTTGAAACTGGAGACACTCCCAGTGTCTGGAAGACCATCTTCCAGGTAAATAATAGACGGGACTCAAAAACAAACAATAAGACCCATGAAAAATAAACAACTACATGAGACCAAAAGGGCAACATTTGCCCAAAATGAAAGATAAAAATACAGGGAGAGACAGGGAAACTGGACAAACAGAAGCAGGAGAACTAAGGGAGGAAATAGGGAGTGTGCTGACCCATTGTGAGGGTTTACCAAGATCATAGAACAATATGAACTATTGATTAGAAAACTGATTGGTATGTAAACTTTCAATAAAGTACAACAAAATGTGTGGGTTGTTTTTGTGGGTTTTTTTTTTTTTAGTTCTGTTTTTTAAAAAAGGTCTTTGTTAGAGATTGTTTGATCCAACATTACCACCGAAGCAGTACTGCTTCTTTGGAGCAGGTTCTAAAGGGATATCATCTTATACAACAGAAGTACTCATTTCCTCTTCTGTCCATTCACACTTGTAGTGTGTGCTGTATTAAATACTGTCAAGTCAGTTTTCAACTCATATCGAGCCCATGTGACTGAGTCGAACTTCTCCATAGGCTTCCTGGTTATAATCTTTACAGGAGCAGATCTCCAGATCCACTGGTAGATTCAAACCGTTACCATCTGTCAGTTAGTCACCAAGTGCTTAACCACTGCATCACCAGGGCTCCTTGCAACACTATAAATAAATCAATGTTTCCAAATTTGATGTATAAATTGAACACTCAATCCTAATAAAAATGTCAACATTTTTTTGTTGTTGTTTGGTAAAAGGGGGAAAGTCAGGAGTGACCAGATTTACTGACCATAAAATTCATTAAAAAAATTAAAAAATAAAAAATAGCTATATAATTTTGAAAAAGAAGTTTTGAAGGGGAACTAATCCTACCAGGTATGAAATATAATGAAACCACAATACCTAAATCATGGTGGTATGGTCATAAAAAATAGACATACAGATCAATGGGAAAGAAAGAGACCAATGTACATGGAAACTTAAAAAATAAAGGTGACATTTCAAGTCATTAAGGCACAGATGGATTGGTCAGTAAAAGAAGCTGGGACAACTGGGTAGTCATCTTGAAAATAAGGTATGAGGGGGTTTCATGAACATTTTGAAGGCTGCTTGTAATATTACACCAAAATATATTTCAGATGGATCAAAGATTTAGATTTGAAAATTGAAACTAAAAATACTAATTTTCAAA